CCACCCCCCTCCCCCTTTTGGCCCTACATAAAGAAATTAACAAAATAAACATTTTTTTAAACTCCAGATTTATGTATCTCTGGAACACGACTTTTTAAAAAAAACGTTAAAAAGACCCATAAAAAGGTCATTTTTAAATGATAAGACAGTCATTTATTTTTCAAAACGTCTGCCTAATCCACGATTCCAGCGTCTCTTTCGTGAGTCATTGTAATCTGAACTAGGTTTAGTTTGATGAAATTAATCATCTTAAAGATCGCCGACTGAAATTGTGCTTTCTGGTTATTGGCAAACGTTTGATGATGCGCTGTTTTCAGAGCGCCTTAAAAATTCTGCATACTTTTATATTTTTCAAAATCTGTTTACTTTATCTGAAACCCAAAGAGACAGGTGGTTTCAGTAGCCTAGTGGTTAGACTACCAGACTCGTAATCATAATCATAAGATTATTCAGAATTGATTTTTGAGATATTCAAAGAACTGCACTGAAAAAAGCTTGACATGTTGTCAAACTAAGAAAAATTAAGGTCAAATGTCTCAAAACTAGGCACTGAGCCAATAGAACTGTATAATTCTGAAGTAGCGACCTGGCTTGATCCGATTCAATCCGATGATTTTGCGAGGCATTGTGCACTGAGTATAACATGAATCATATAAAGATCAAGGGAGATTCTGTAGTCAGTCACTGCAGTCTGCTTTACACAATTCGCTACCTTAGCATTACAAAGTTCTATCTGACATTTTTGGTCGTTTTGAGTTTTAAGACCATGAGGTCAGAAACCAAAATAATGTTCTGTCTGCTGTATCCAAATTGTAAGATAATTCAGATGCGTTATCAAGATATTCCACGAATTGCATTTTTAAAAAGCTTGACATATTAATTGAGAAACTCAAAAATGTTGACGCCAAATTTCTCTAAACTACGTACTGAGCAGACAGTACTTGACAATTAAGAGGTAGCGACCTGGCTTGCCCCGATTCAATTCGATGATTTTGATAGGTAGTGTGCACTGGGTATAAAAATAAAGACCAAGGGAGATTCTGATGCCAGTCTCTGTAGTCAGCTGTAGACAGTTATCTGTATGTGGGACAGTGCAGTTCTAGACTGCTAGGACAATAAACATGTGGCTGACACCACATAGCCTAGGCACAATCTTGTACATGATACGTAGATGATACGGGCAAATCGGGCGGGGTTTTGAGGATCTGGTTTCTAAGCTGTCGTGGTCTGTTGGTGCTAGCATTATTCCACCTGTGTGTGTG